TGGATGTCTGTCCACGTGGGAGGGGTGGGGCTGGGTGGAGAGGGGAGGGTAGGGCGGGGCTGGGAGGGGCTGGGTGGGGAGGGGTGGGGCTGGGTGGGGGGTGGGAGGGGTGGGGCTGGGAGGGGAAGGGCTGGTCACCCCGTGGTGCCCTTATAAAACTCAACGTTTCACCTACTCACGCCGGCTTGTGCCCGCCCTCACAGTCGGGCATATTGTGTTGAACACAACACGTGGTGCCGCCGTTGACCCTGGCCATTGACCGAGCAACCCAACGTCCCTACCAGCTCCCTCCGCAGGAGAATGTGTTATTTCTACCTATGTGACTTTACCGAAATAACCAAAGAGTATAAAATAATAAATGTTTTGTTTCATTAACTAATTTTGTTTTATTTGAATTGTGTTACGGAGAGATGCCGGTTGTGAGCCGGGCAGTGGCATGCGCGTGGCTCCGCGTGGCTCCGCGTGGCTCTGCTGACGGATCGATCCCCCTCGTAATAAAGATAAGTTTGAGTGCTGTGAGCGAGCAGCAGCAACAGCAGCCAGTGAAGGCCGGCACGGCACACGAGGGGGTGGGTGGCCAACAACACGCCCGGCTGCCTTTGTCTCCCCAGTGGCGATGTTTACACATTGCACCAGCTACTCATTTGAGGCTGAGTCCACCTAGGGGAGGCCCGGGACCGCTTCAGATAATCGTCACTGGGTGTTGGCCGTCAGCGGGAATCGAAGCCGGGTCGCCAGGTTCGTAGCGCAGCGTGGCGCTAACCACCACTACACTACCGCGCCGCACATACACACGCACAAACACACACGCACACACAAACACAACAACAACCGGCATTCGCCACTAAGTGGCGGTGACGTCACCACGACGCTTGTGCCAGGACATGTGCACCTTGAGGCCATCGGTGATGGGGCAGTTGTGGAGAGAGTGGAGAGTTTCCCATACCTGGGCAGTGTGCTTATGACCGGCTCCAGTTTAACAGCAGAGATCTCACTCCGAATCAGTCGAGCGGCAATATATTTTCATCGGTTGCGTAACGCTGTGTGGAAGCTACCTGGTCTGTTGTTCCGCACGAAGCTTCAGGTCTTCTCGGCCACGGACATTCCCTCCCTTCTCTACGCTTGCGAAACGTGGACCCCCCTAATGGAACATCTTCGCCGGTTAGAAACATTTAGGCTGGCCTGCCTACGATCCATCCTGGGTTTAACCAGACTGGATTGTGTGAGGAGCTCACAAATCCTTGAAAGATCTGGGCAAGGTCCCATCGGTGAGCTCCTCTGGCAGGCAAGGCTGCGATGGCTGGGTTATGTAGCCCGCATGCCCAGCCACCGCATGCCGAAACAGCTTTTGTTCGGCCGGGTCGAGGGGGCTAAGCGGGCGCGGCACGGGCTAGAGAAGAGATGGAGTGATGTGGTACAGGAGGACGTGGAGCTGAGTGGACTTGCCGATTACTGGTACCAGCGGTGTCAAGATCGGCCTCTGTGGAGGAGGCTCGTGAAGGATGCTACTGGGCAGTTGGAGGTAGTCGCCCTCCAACAACAAAGGAGGGCGGAGGAGCGAGGCTCACAACAACGAGCGGAGCGCCGGGTGGCTAAAGCACAGCAGGTTGGCACCGTGGGGGGCACAGGTGGTGCATCAGCCAGTCATCTCAGTCAGTCGACCCGTGGCACCTGAGTCTGCCCCGTGACCTACCAGCGGGCGTTCGACACTTCACGTGGCCTCAAGGTGCACACAAACACACAAGCACGCACACACACACAAACACACACACAAACACGCACACACAAACACACACACAAACACGCACACACAAACACGCACACACACAAACACACACACAAACACACATACACAAACACACACACACAAACACACGCGTGTCTGCTGCCGTCTAGTGGCAACGTCTGGGAGAATAGAAATTTGTTCACGGTTTGGTCCAGATGTCTTGTTACCCCCCCCCCCCCCCAAATTAAGGTTTACACATCAAGGTTTATACATCATGTTCAAGGTTTATATATCAAGGTTTACATATCAAGTTTTATACATCAAGATTTATACATCAAGGTTTGCACATCAAGGTTAACACATCAAGGTTTATACACCAAGATTTACACACTAAGGTTTATACATCAGGTCTGAGATGTATACATAATGTTCAAGGTTTATACATGATGTGAAAGGTTTATACATCAGGATCAAGGTTTATACATCAGGATCAAGGTTTATACATCAGGACCAAGGTTTATACATCAGGATTAAGGTGTATAAATCATGTTCAACGTTTATACATCAGGACCAAGGTTTATACATCAGGATCAATGTTTATACATCAGAACCAAGGTTTATACATCAGGATCAAGGTTGATACATCAGGATCAAGGTTTATACATCAGGATCAAGGTTTATACATCACGATCAAGGCTTATACATCAGGATCAAGGTTTATACATCAGGATCAAGGTTTACACATCAGAACCAAGGTTTATACATCAGGATCAAGGTTTATACATCAGGATCAAGGTTTATACATCAGCACCAAGGTTTATACATCAGGATCAAGGTTTATACATCAGGACCAAGTGTTTATACATCAGGATCAAGGTTTATACATCAGAACCAAGGTTTATACATCAGGACCAAGGTTTAAACATCAGGATCAAGGTTTATACATCAGGATCAAGGTTTATACATCAGGACCAAGGTTTATACATCAGGATCAAGGTTTATACATCAGAACCAAGGTTTATATATCAGGATCAAGGTTTATACATCAGGATCAAGGTTTATACATCAGGATCAAGGTTTATACATCAGAACCAAGGTTTATACATCAGGATCAAGGTTTATACATCAGGACCAAGGTTTATACATCAGGATCAAGGTTTATACATCAGGATCAAGGTTTATACATCAGGATCAAGGTTTATACATCAGGACCAAGGTTTATACATCAGCATCAAGGTTTATACATCAGGATCAAGGTTTATACATCAGGATCAAGGTTTACACATCAGGATCAAGGTTTATACATCAGGACCAAGGTTTATACATCAGGACCAAGGTTTATACATCAGGATCAAGGTTTATACATCAGGATCAAGGTTTATACATCAGGATCAAGGTTTATACATCAGGACCAAGGTTTATACATCAGGATCAAGGTTTATACATAAGGACCAAGGTTTATACATCAGGATCAAGGTATATACATCAGGATCAAGGTTTATACATCAGGATCAAGGTTTATACATCAGGACCAAGGTTTATACATCAGGATCAAGGTTTATACATCAGGATCAAGGTTTATACATCAGGATCAAGGTTTATACATCAGGATCAAGGTTTATACATCAGGATCAAGGTTTATACATCAGAACCAAGGTTTATACATCAGGATCAAGGTTTATACATCAGGACCAAGATTTACAGAAGACACGCAGAAACGACGCCCCATCTGCCACTCTACCAAGGACTGGCTTTGACATTAAAGTGTCTCATCAGCAGTGCCGGGCTTTGCTTGAACCAGCTGCTGGCGATCTGCCAGTTGCTTGCAAGGACTGGCTTTGACATTAAAGTGTCTCATCAGCAGTGCCGGGCTTTGCTTGAACCAGCTGCTGGCGATCTGCCAGCTGCTTGCAAGGACTGGCTTTGACATTAAAGTGTCTCATCAGCAGTGCCGGGCTTTGCTTGAACCAGTGGCTGGCGATCTGCCAGCTGTTTGCAAGGACTGGCTTTGACATTAAAGTGTCTCATCAGCAGTGCCGGGCTTTGCTTGAACCAGCGGCTGGCGATTATTTTAAAATCATGTTTACAGATCGACAGTGTCCTTGCGGATGAATGACAACATCCAGACTGGGTTTGTTGTTGTTGTTGTTGTTCTGACACGCTTTACGTAACAACAACAGTAGCAGCACGTGTCCAGCAGGTGCGCAACAAAGACAAAGATCCCCCGTGTAGCCTGTAACAGACTGTAGGGGCAAGTGCTGTTAGCGAGTAGCAGCACCTATGAAGGCTACCGGCATTGTGGCACACGAGGGGGTGGGTGGCCAGCACCACGCCCGGCCGCCTTTGTCTCCCCAGTGACGATGTTTACACTACGCACCGGATACTCTACTCGTTTGAGGCCGGGTTGTATGACGTCATTATTCCAAACGCGCCGCGGTGACGTCACGCAACACGGTAAGGGATGGCGGAGGCGTGTATGACGTCATTATCGCAAATGGACCGCGGTGATGTCACGCAACACGTCGTGGCGGAAGGGGCGGCGGCGGCGGAGGGAGGCGCGTGCATGACGTCGGTATCGCAAACGCACCGCGGTGACGTCACGACTCGATTTTGAACGACGCTCCGCGATGACGTCACGGGCGGAGTGGAAAGGGGTTTTTGTGTTCGCCGAAATGACGTCACGTTCGTTTTAGCGGCCCATGACGTTGCGCGTCACGTTGGCCTTCAGCAAGCCCCGCCCACCTCCCCCAGCCCGGGCCGCCATGAGCGGGCGGTTCCGTGACATCATCACTCGCGCCCCCTTACCTGGTGGGGGGGGGTCGGCGATTCTGACGTCATCGCGTCACTGTTACCAAGGTGATTGGCGGTGACGTCATCGCGTGTGTCTGTGTGTTAACGAGTGGGGAGCGGCGACCCGGGTTCGATTCCCGCTCGCGTGCCAACACCGCCGGTGACGATTCTCTGAACCGGTCCCTGGGCCTCCTCCCCTAGGTCGACTCGGCCTCAAATTAGTTACCTGGCGCAGCGGTGTCTCGTAAAGATCGCCACTGGGGAGACAAAGGCGGCCGGGGCGTGGTTGCCGGCCTTCACAGCTGCTGCTGCTAATGGTGCTACTCGCTAACAGCACTTGCCCCTACAGCCGGCCACAGGCTACACGGGGGAGCTTTGTTAACCAGGAGGCCTGAGACGGCCAATCGGAGGTGAGGGGGCGGTGAGGGGGAGGTGAGGGGGAGGGGTGAGGGGAGGGGGAGGGGTGAGGGGGCGGTGAGGGGGAGGGGTGAGGGGAGGTGAGCTCGACCCTGGGCCTCGGGGAAGGAGGAAAAACACTCGAGTCGATCACCAGGCTCCTCACCAGCCGGCTCGCTCCTCACCAACTCCTCACCAGCTCCTCACCAGCCGGCTCGCTCCTCACCAACTCCTCACCAGCTCCTCACCAGCCGGCTCGCTCCTCATCAACTCCTCACTAACTCCTCACCAGCTCCTCACCAGCCGGCTCGCTCCTCACCAACTCCTCACCAGGCTCCTCACCAGCCGGCTCGCTCCTCACCAACTCCTCACTAACTCCTCACCAGCTCCTCACCAGCCGGCTCGCTCGCCTATGGACATGGCCGAAAGACCGCTTCCAGCCGCGGTGAGCACTCACCACATTCACCCATACACTCACCACACTCACCCATACACTCACCCATACACTCACCACACTCACCGATACACTCACCACACTCACCCATACACTCACCCATACACTCACCCATACACTCACCACATTCACCAATACACTCACCACACCGATACACTCACCGATACACTCACCAATACACTCACCAATACACTCACCACACTCACCCATACACTCACCCATACACTCACCGATACACTCACCAATACACTCACCACACTCACCCATACACTCGCCCATACACTCACCCATACACTCACCACACCCACCAATACACTCACCACACTAACCAATACACACCCACTTGTACGCTCACATACACACACACTCACTCACCACACTCACCAGGGTCATGTACACACACTCACCACCTCCACACTGCTATATACAGTCACCTGCGCGCTCACCTAGCCAAACCTCGGCTGTACATGGGGTGGACGTCTGTGTGAGCCCCGTGTAATTCTCCACAACTGAACGTGTGTATATATATATTTTTTAAGTATGGTTAATTTAAAAATCACACTCCAGCGCTGTCCTCCAGACAGTCTCGTCCCTTCACCTGATGAAGGCCGCTTGTGTTGTGGCCGAAACGTCGTGATTTTTGTTATTTTATTTTTTACCTACGTGACTTAGCCCAGTATAACCAAAGAGTATGGATCCTAGCAGTCACGAAAGCTTTAAATCTAGAATTATTTAAAATAGAAATAAAAATGCAAAGGACGAAAGCAATATATATTTTTATGGATTATAATTAATGGGGGGGGGTGGTGGTGGGGTGGTGATGGGGTGGTGATGGTGGTGGTGGGTGGGTGGTGGGGGGGTCACAAGACATTTGGACCACCGCAATCACCCCCACACCCCGTACATTGGACCCAGCACACCAGGTGGCTGAGTGGTTAAAGGGGGAAGCGAGGCCTGTCCGTGTTCGTTCGCACCAGTTGCCTCCGTCATTCAAATGTTTACCCAACGCCCCCGTCACACCTGCACAAAGGACAAATGGTCCCCCCGTGTAGCCTCTATGACAGATTGTAAGGGGCAAGTGCTGTTCGCCTACACACGATGGGTGGCCAGCAACCACGCCCGGCCGCCTTTGTCTCCCCAGTGGCGATGCTTACCGCACGCCGCGCGTCGAGGCTGAGTCGACCTAGGGGAGGCCCAGGACCCGGTTCAGATAATCGTCACCGATGGTGGTGTTGGCCGTGAGCGGGAATCGAACTCGGGTCGCCGGGAATCGAACTCGGGTCGCCGGGTTCATAGCGCAGCGTAGCGCTAACCGCTGCGCCACCGCTCCCCACTCGCATACACACACACACCTGTACACACAGGTACACGCACACCTGTACACACACACCTGTACACACACAGCTACATACACACAGGTACACGCACACCTGTACACACAGGTACACACACACCTGTACACACAGCTACACACACATCTGTACAGCTACACACACAGGTACACACGCATAGGTACACACATACCTGTACACACCTGTACACACAGCTACACACACAGGTACATGCACACCTGTACACACACACAGGTACACACAGGTACACACACACAGGTACACACAGGTACACACACCTGTACACACAGCTACCTGTACACACAGCTACATGCACACCTGTACATGCACACCTGTACATGCACACCTGTACATGCACACCTGTACATGCACACCTGTACATGCACACCTGTACATGCACACCTGTACATGCACACCTGTACATGCACACCTGTACATGCACACCTGTACATGCACACCTGTACACACGCACACCTGTACACACGCACACCTGTACACACGCACACCTGTACACACGCACACCTGTACACACGCACACCTGTACACACGCACACCTGTACACACGCACACCTGTACACACGCACACCTGTACACACGCACACCTGTACACACGCACACCTGTACACACGCACACCTGTACACACGCACACCTGTACACACGCACACCTGTACACACGCACACCTGTACACACACAAAGATAAAGACAAAGATCCCCCATATAGCCTTAACAGACTGTAGGGGCAAGTGCTGTTAGCGAGCACCTATGAAGGCCGGAACGGTACACGAGGGGGTGGGTGGCCAGCACCACGCCCAACCGCCTTTGTCTCCCTAGTGGCAATGTTTACACACCGCACCAGGTACTCATTTGAGGCTGAGTCGACCTAGGGGAGGCCCGGGACCGGTTCAGATAATCGTCACTGGTGTTGGCCGTGAGCGGGAATCGAACCCGGGTCGCCAGGTTCATAGCGCAGCGCGCTAACCGCTACACTATCGCTCCCCACAACTACACACACACACACCTGTACACACACCTGTACACACACACACACACCTGTACACACACAGGTACACGCACGCGTTGTTTGCCGAGGCTTCGCTGAAGCTCGCCTCGGATTCTAATCCCAAGCATCGGGCTGTGTGCATCGACAACCATAACAACAACCACAACAACAACAACCACAACCACCACAACAACCACAACCACAACAACGACGACTCGTCACAGTGTGACGTTAAAGACCCCTCGGCGCCAGTCTGAATGAGTCGCCGTACAAATCTGACGTTAAAATAATCCCAGCCGCAAAAAGAATAACATTGCTCAATGTCTGATGACACACACACACGGGAGCAGTAGCATGCGGCAGCAATCTGGCATCAGCGGACTAATCATCATCATCATAATACCTTACATTTAGAAAGCGCCCTTTAGCCATAGTAGAGGGTTGTTGTTTTTTCTGTGGGTTAGATCACGTTGATGTAAATGTGTCGTAACACCACGTGACACGGCCAACTAGTCAGGTGTGTAGTGTATAGTGTAGTGTAGTATACTAGTACAGCACTAGTGTGTAGTGTAATGTAGTATTCTAGTACAGCACTAGTGTGTAGTGTATAGTGTAGTATACTAGTACAGCACTAGTGTGTAGTGTAGTGTATAGTGTAGTGTAGTATTCTAGTACAGCACTAGTGTGCAGTGTATAGTGTAGTATTCTAGTACAGCACTAGTGTGTAGTGTATAGTGTAGTGTAGTATTCTAGTACAGCACTAGTGTATAGTGTAGTGTATAGTGTAGTGTACTTAAAACAGCACTAGTGTATAGTGTAGTGTATAGTGTAGTGTATAGTGCAGTGTACTTAGTACAGCACTAGTGTATAGTGTAGTATATTAGTACAGCACTAGTCTGTAGTGTAGTATACTAGTACAGCACTAGTGTGTAGTGTATAGTGTAGTATACTAGTCCAGCACTAGTGTGTAGTGTATAGTGTAGTATACTAGTACAGCACTAGTGTATAGTGTAGTATACTAGTACAGCACTAGTGTGTAGTGTAGTGTATAGTGTAGTATACTAGTACAGCTCTAGTGTGTAGTGTAGTGTATAGTGTAGTATACTAGTACAGCTCTAGTGTGTAGTGTAGTATTCTAGTACAGCATTAGTGTCTAGTGTGTAGTGTAGTGTATAGTGCAGTGTACTTAGTACAGCACTAGTGTATAGTGTAGTATACTAGTACAAAATTAGTGTGTAGTGTATAGTGTAGTGTAGTATACTAGTCCAGCACTAGTGTGTAGTGTATAGTGTAGTGTATAGTGCAGTGTACTTAGTACAGCACTAGTGTATAGTGTAGTGTAGTATATTAGTCCAGCACTAGTGTGAAGTGTAGTGTATAGTGCAGTGTACTTAGTACAGCACTAGTGTATAGTGTAGTATACCAGTACAGCACTAGTGTGTAGTGTATAGTGTAGTATACTAGTACAGCACTAGTGTGTAGTGTAGTGTATAGTGTAGTTTATAGTAGTGTATAGTGTAGTGTATAGTGTAGTATACCAGTACAGCACTAGTGTGTAGTGTATAGTGTAGTATACTAGTACAGCACTAGTGTGTAGTGTAGTGTATAGTGTAGTTTATAGTAGTGTAGTGTATAGTGTAGTGTATAGTGTAGTATACTAGTACAGCACTAGTGTGTCGTGTAGTTTACAGTGCAAAGGCAAAGGAGCCCCCAGCCCCCCTCCCACCGTGTAGCCTCAACGCACTGTCCGGGGCAAGTGCTGTTAGCGAGGAGCAGCAGTGAAGGCTGGCAACCTGTGGCTCTGTGGCGCACGAGGGGGTGGGTGGGTGGGTGGCCCAGCTACCCGCACGAAACCAACACAAACAAACTCACAAACGTCACACAGTGACACGGCAGCACGGAATCGTGATCACTGCGCATGGAAGGGAACATCTTGGCGAACCGGTTACACGTTGGAGTTATTTATAATCACACAGACGCAGCACCACCACCACTCACCACCACTCACCACCACTCACCACCACCACTCACCACTACCACCACTCACCACCACCACTCACCACCACCACTCACCACCACCACCACTCACCATCACCACCACCAGGGGGTAGCCAGCCGCTTAACAGATCACTCACTCCACTAGGGGCAAGTGCTGTTCTCTATTCAGGGTTGGTGGTGGTGGTTGTGGTGGTGTTGGTGGTGGTGTTGGTGGTGGTGGTGTTGGTGGTGGTGTTGGTGGTGGTGGTGGTGTTGGTGGTGGTGTTGTTGGTGGTGGTGTTGGTGGTGGTGTTGTTGGTGGTGGTGTTGATGGTGGTGGTGGTGGTGTTGGTGGTGTTGGTGGTGGTGGTGGTGTTGGTGGTGTTGGTGGTGGTGTGGGTGGTGTGGGTGGTGTGGGTGGTGTTGGTGGTGGTGGTGTTGGTGGTGTTGGTGGTGGTGGTGTTGGTGGTGGCCCTGTAGAGTTTTTGTCTCCCCACAAAGACAACAAAAGCTGCCGCACGCACAACCCACTAGTAGTGTATAGTGTAGTGTATAGTGTAGTGTATAGTGTAGTGTATAGTGTAGTGTATAGTGTAGTCTGTAGTGTAGTGTCTAGTGTGGAGTGTAGTGTATAGTATAGTGTAGTCACTACACTATACACTACACTGTAGTGTATAGTGTAGTGTGTTTTAGTGTGTAGTGTATAGTGTAGTGTATAGTAGTGTAGTGTATAGTGTAGTGTGGCGTGTAGTGTAGTGTATAGTGTAGTATACTAGTACAGCACTAGTGTATAGTGTAGTGTATTGTGTATAATAGTGTACTGTAATGTGTATAGTAGTATAGTGTAATGTGTATAGTAGTGTAGTGCAGTGTATAGTGTAGTGTAATGTGTACAGAAGTGTAGTGTATAGTGTAATGTGTATAGTGTAATGTGTATAGTAGTGTAGTGTATAGTGTAGTGTGAAGCGACCTGGCCACATGATAGCTCCGCGCAGCGAGTGAATCGTCATCGTCATGATCGCGTGGGTGTTTACGTCAGCCAAAGAACTCTCCAAACGTGTGGTGACGTCGATTCTTTACGTGGTAGAGGAAATACCGGAGACGAATTCACGCGACCACGGGGAGAGAGAGAGAGAGAGACACGGAAAACTCCAAATATACAGCAGCAGCAGCAGGCATCAGGGTCGGGATCGAACCCACGGACCTCCTGTATACCAGGCGAGGTAGTTAACATCTCCTAGCCACCGTGATGATGATGAGAGAGAGATAGAACCCACGACCTCCTGCAGTCCAAGCGAGGTAGTTAACATCTCCTAGCCACCGTGGTGCCCAAAGTCACCTCGTGCCACACAGGGACGGCTGTCACTGGGGGTGTCCCTAGGCTAGACCACACAGCAGCAGCACCAGTGACAATCGCCCCCCTACTACTGGCAGATTAAGACGAATGCTGGTGGAACTGCCATAACCAAGGTCTGGTTTCGACACTCATCGCCTCATCAGTAGAGTGAGGCTTTGCTTGAAGCAATCCTGGTGAAATGCCAGATGTGTATAGTTATACAAATACTCTCTGTTGGATTACGGGCGGGGTCATCATACCTGTCAACCCATGCGGTATGCTGATGTCTTATATATATTTTTTAATACTATTTGGTTCTTTCGGTAAAGTCACGTAGGTATAAAGTGAAATCAATCACGACGTTTCGGGCGCAACCCAAGCGTCCATCATGAGGTGGGAAAGCGTGGCATGCTGCTGCTGTCTGTTTGTGTTTCTCCCCCTGTGATGGTGACTTTGTAGGATGAACGTTGAGATTTATAAGGGGCACGGGGTGAGTCCAATAGGGGTCTGAGTTGGTCTGTAATAATAGGGCACTGATAGGGGGTTGACAGGTATCCGTATATAGCAGCAACTATGAAGGTGGTGGTGTTGCCAGCACCATGCCCGGCCGCCTTTGTCTCCCACAAACTAAACTCACATTTTTTAATTACCACTTGTAAGGTCGTCTGGCTCTTCACAAATGACAGCTCAACGAAATGGGTGGCTTATCATCATCAGCATCATCACTACTACCATTACTCCCATCATCACCACCATCATTACTACCATAATCACCACCATCATTACTATCATCATCACCACCACCATCATTACTACCATCATCACCACCATCATTACTACCACCATCATTACTACCATCATCATCACTACCACCATCATTACTACCACGATCATGGCTACCACCATCATCACTACCACCATCATTACTATCATCATCATCACCGCCACCATCATTACTACCACCATCATTACTCCCACCATTACTACCATCATCACCATCATCATAACTACCACCATTACTACCATCATCATCACCATCATTGCTACCACCATCATCACTACCATCATCACTACCACCATCATTACTATCATCATCATCACCATCATTACTACCATCATCATCACCATCATTACTACCATCATCATCATCACCATCATCATCATCACCACCATCATCATCATCACCACCATTATTACTATCACCATCATCACTACCACCACCACCATCATCATCGGCGTTGGCCGTGGGCGGAAATCGAACTCGGCTGGCCGGGGTTCGTAGCGCGGCGTCGCGCTAACCGCTGCACCACCGCTCCCCACGTACTGACGGGCACCCCAGACAACACGCATTGTTGGTAAACCGGTTTGGGGTAAGAGAATTATGTAAATATATATACACACCACTCGCACAACAGCTGATAACGCAGACAGCGTCATCTCCTACTTAACAAGTTTATGATGACAATGTGTGTATGACGGTGGTGATGATGATCGGTGTTGACAGAGATGTTTATTGCCTGATTATTTACTCTCTAAATTGACAGCGGGCACGTCGAAAGCCTCCCCCACACACACTTTTAGAGTGTCGACTTTTGTGGATTCCGAGAGAAACCCATCCATGGCAACCCCTAATCAGTGCCCTACCTTATTACAGACCAATTCACGCCTAATTGCTCACCCCGTGTCGCTTATCAACGTTCATCCTTTACACTACTCTACATTGTACACTACACTATACACCACTATACTATACACTACTATACAATACTATACACTACACTATATACTACACTATACACTACACTATACACTACACTATAAACTACACTATAAACTACACTATACACTACACTATACACTACACTATACACTCCACTGTACACTACACTATATACTACACTATACACTACACTATACACTACACTACTATACACTACACTATACACTACACTATACACCACACTATACACTATACTACTATACACTACACTACTATACACTACACTATACACTACACTATACACTCCACTGTACACTACACTATACACTACTATACACTATACTATACACTACACTATACACTATACTATACACTACACCACTATACACTACACCACTATACACTACACTATACACTACACTATACACTACACTACTATACACTACACTACTATACACTACACTATACACTACACTATACACTACACTATACACTACACTACTATACACGACACTATACACTACACTATACACTACACTATACACTACACACTATACACTACAGTATACACTACACTATACACTACACTATACACTACACACTACACTACTATACACTACACTATACACTACACTACTATACACTACACTACTATACACTACACTATACACTACACTATACACTACACACTACTACACTATACACTACAGTGTAGTGTATAGTGTAGTAACTATACTATATACTACACTATACACTACAACACTATACACTACAGTGTAGTGTATAGTGACTATACTATACACTACACTATACACTACACTGTACACTACACTATACACTACACTATACACTACACTACTATACACTACACTACTATACACTATACACTACACTATACACACTACACTACACACTACACTGTACACTACACTATACACTACACTATACACTACTAGGGGGTTGTGCGTGCGGCAGCTTTTGTTGTCTTTGTGCGGAGACAAAATCTCTACAGGGCGTGGTGCTGCCACCACCACCAACACAACAACCAAAACAACCAACACCACCACCACCAACACCACCACCAACACCACCACCACCACAACAACAACACCACCACCACAACAACAACAACACTACCAACACCACCAACACCACCACCAACACCACCACCAACACCACCAACACCACCACCAACACCACTACCACCACCAACACCACCACCACCAACCCTGAATAGAGAACAGCACTTGCCCCTAGTGGAGTGAGTGGTGAGTGATCTGTTAAGTGGCTGGCTACCCCCTGGTGGTGAGTGGTGGTGGTGAGTGGTGAGTGGTGGTGGTGAGTGGTGGTGGTGAGTGGTGGTGGTGAGTGGTGAGTGGTGGTGAGTGGTGGTGGTGCGTCTCTGTGTGATTATAAATAACTCCAACGTGTAACCGGTTCGCCAAGATGTTCCCTTCCATGCGCAGTGATCACGAGTCCGTGCTGCCGTGTCACTGTGTGACGTTTGTGAGTTTTTTTTTGTGTTGGTTTCGTGCGGGTAGCTGGGCCACCCACCCACCCACCCCCTCGTGCGCCACAGAGCCACAGGTTGCCAGCCTTCACTGCTGCTCCTCGCTAACAGCACTTGCCCCGGACAGTGCGTTGAGGCTACACCACGGTGGGAGGGGGGCCTGGGGGCTCCTTTGCCTTTGCTTGATGGTGGTGCAACGGTGATCGGAACCCGTTCCCTGGGCACTACCCCCCTCCCCTAGGTCCACTCAGCCTCAAACGAGTACCCGATGCGGTGCGTAGTAAACGTCGCCACCGGGGAGACAAAGGCGGCCGGGCGTGGTGTTGGCTACCCACAGCCCCCTGGCGTGCCGTGCCGGCTTTCATCAGTGGTGTTCGCTAACAGCACTTGCCCCAACAGCCTGTTGAGGCTATACGGGGAATCTTTGTCTTTTTGTTGTTGTTGTTGTTGAACGTTGTTGAATGTTGTTGATGTTGTTGTTAGGTTCTACCGCATGAAAGACCAAGACCCCAACGAAATGGAAACGCTCAGTGTGAGGGATCTTAGCATCATCGTCACCATCACCACCACCATCGTCAACATCACCACCACCACAACTTCCATCACCACATTCATCACCACCACCACATCAACATTACCTGCATCATCACCACCACCACCACCTCCATCACCAATATCACCTCCACCATCACCACCACCTCCATCACTTTCATAATCACCACCATCATCATCATCAC